CATGAGATATTCCATTTGAGGCAACTGACATCCTACCCTAAGCTGAACAAAGGCATGAATGCAGTTCCAGACACAGAAATATCCCATCACAAATGCGGTTATTTCTCTATTTCTCCGAGATATGAAGAGCATCTGCAGACAGGAAAGGTTCTGCGATAGCGACTCTTTCTACTGGGCTCAAACTAGCCTTAAAGAACAAATTCTGCACTTATCTTCGAGGACCCTGGTCCTTGCCATGAGTGAGGGAGATGGGTTCACAATAGCGTGCCACGTTCTCCAAAAGTGCACGGGAAGCTGGAGGAAAGTGATTCCAGTGGCTGTCAGTATACTCTGCCCGAGCTGCCACTTGCACAGCCACGCTCATAGCCACAGCTAGACGCGCTACTTCTCTTTCACTTTTTTCAGCTGACTACTTCGACGTACCCAGTCCTCTCCCCAGCCGCATCATGCCCTCACCCTATGGGATTCACTCGATTGTGATATTCACCACACCCCTCCCCCCTTCATGTATTCTTTTGAAACCAACTTCCTGCTGTTGTTGCGACCCACGCTGTGAATTAGGTAATCCTTCTCTGCTAATGCGAATTTGTCAGTTGTTAGTACTTCCTGTAGCCCGTTACTAGTGTTTACGTCACACCCCCTACATCATCACTTGGAACCCACGCTCTGCGGACGGATTCCAGTTCAGTTACTTGACAGAAAGACGGACGGATGGTCAGTCGGACGGACAGACGGACGGACACAGAAACACACACAGACATATATCCAGATACATGCATATGCAGACACACATAGACACACGCACACACAGACACAGATACCCAGATACACCTACACTCACAGGCATGTTTAGTGGATTATATGCAGTAGGATGAAACAGTCCACTGCCAACGATTTGCTATACTTCATTGTGCTTCGAAAGATATAAATGCTCCCATCAACCATGGCTTGCTGGGATGATATCAATTTTGAAAATTTTATGACCACACCTTTGCAGATGCTGAAACGGCAATGGATCTGCGGTGCAGTCAATGCCGGTCTCTTTCTTGTGGGTGCTGCTCTGCTAAGCGTTGGCATAGCAGTCATGGTGAAGATCTTCCCAGATATCGTTGAAAACCAAATAAAAACTGTTAGTGTTCCTTTTGTTTTGAGTCTTCAGTATTCCATTCAACATTGATTTAAACAGGGTAAAGTCTTCGGACTAAACGACGACGGGACGCTGAACGATTTCACAAAGACGTGGGCTAATCCTTCCTACATCTCAACGATGCAGTTCTGGGCATTCGACTATAAAAACACGATTGGTATATTGAACCGAGCTCTGTGGCCGGATATGGATGAAAAAGGGCCATACGCCTATGAGTGAGTACTGTAATGCGGTTTTAGCCGCATTCCGCACAAAATGTATAGGCGTTATGGTACCTGACTCCCTCGTTGGGCTATATGAACTTTTGCAAATGGCATCAAGAAGCGCAGAGTGTGCCCATCGGTAGAGGTTCTTACCAGTGTCTGTTTTCTTCGTGAATCAGTCATTAGCCGATCACTAAGTCAAAAAAGGCAGTCAAGGAGCACTCGTCCTCTTCCTCTGACAAAGCCCCAATGATTGAGGCGATATCAACCATAGTATCCCACAACGATTTGGGTAAAGTATCCCAGACTATAGGGAAGAGTATCGGGTTAAAGTGATCGCACATCAAAGAGTTGCGAGAACAAACTTCACAAAAATCTATGTGAGAGTTTGGGCACTACTGCACTGTTAGGACACCAAACTGAAGAAATCTTTCTGCTGAACTCTGCCAATACACGCTCGAAATCCCTGAAATGTGGTAGTCATGACTGCCTACTTCAACTCAACGGGGCGGTGATTGTGCTTTTGGTGAGATGTTTTCATTTGATTCACAGTTTGTGGTCATTGCCTGTTGTCGCAACTCTTCAAGATTGACAGTGTCAACTCAAACTGAATGGCTAACCCATCATGCCTCTCCTTCTCCGTCTCAGGTGAAATGGAGAGTATTTTAGTCGGTCATGATTTGTGTATCGTTGATTGCGCTAGGCGCATTGGCCTAGTCATCCATTTTTCACACCATTTGACAAGACTTTTATACGGGGCATTTATTAGGTCATTCCATTCAAAAATGTGGAAGTTCTCATTCGTATAAATCGAGGAGGAAAATCATATGAAAAAATGTACAATCCCGCTTCCACATAGTAAGAATCCTCCTTTATCAATGTACCCGCGTTCCAGTGCCCGCAGAAAGCGTTTGGACCACTAGTACGCTTCTGTGTTTTCAACAGTGCAGAATTGCCTGTTATGGCCATTTCGGCGAATGAATATGCGTTTGCCGTCGGACGAGTTACCTTCGACTCAGCCAGTAATCAGTTGAACATGCGCATGCTGTGGTTGGAGGAATGAGGCGGTCGAACCCAGGTCTCTAGTTTGATTAAGTTCCTTCTGTGAGCACGCGACATTGATAGGCTGAAAACTATAATATTATGCCTGACCTTCGACTAGACATGCTTCATGCAGAGGCCCAATCCACCAGTCCAGCATTCTCTAACATTCTCATTCTACTAACAACTCTTCCGCTCTCGCTGTGGTGGACTCGGCCTCTGATGAAGACGATCTATAGGGGGGAAAAAAAAGAACATTTCGACCGAATCACATATGCAGCAACGTGTGTCCGTGTGAGCCCAGAGATGGAAACGTAGGAGTGCCGAAGTGTGACCAGGGCGAAGCATACCCAAGATGTTCTTCGCTAAGCAGGAGCTAAGCTCTCGCCCCATCCGCCTTCTATGTACAGGGCCAAAAATATGAAGTCATCTCCGTTGCAATGCCTGGACTGGAGAAGACCCGTTGGGAGTGCATGTCACTCCAAGCAGCTGCGAGAACTTCTTGGAACGGACGTCACCCATGGATAGCTCACCTGGAGACCAGTACGTGGTCCGAACTGGATAATTCAACGGGTCGCGTAGCGGGTCTAGGACATCATCTTCACCTCAGTCGCCAAGGCGCCAGTTGATGGTGGGGACCGGACGTACCTGGAATGAAGAGGCCGATATTTTCTTCGTGGGCCCCGGGGTGAGCGCTGGCGGTTACATCGAGCAACTCGAGAAGAATATCCTCTCCACATGTCGTCGCCCGTACCTTCTTGGAAACTTTTGTACTGCTACAGGATTGTGCTGGACACCACTCACATGGAATCAAAGGCGTTGGGAAAACTCTTGCCTACTTGGAATGGAAGGGCGTTGAGTACCTGAATAAGGTGGAATATCTAAGCAGGTAACCTGACCTGTATCACCTGTGCTCCCGTTGATCATCGAGTTCCTCGAGCGGGCGCCAGTAACGTCTCCATTCGTCCCTGCAACGTGCAAGAGGGTTGCGCCGCAGTGAACTCTCCGCTCGAGGACACGATGAACTTCATACCATTCGTTCAGAGCTTTCACGAAGAAGTCTGACCATCGCATAGGCGGTCGTCCAGGCGTTCGCTTGACATCCCGTGGAATCCAGTCGGTGATGCTCTGGTCCAGCGGTCGTCCTCGAAACGCATGACGTGTCCGGCCCACCTGATCTTCGAAACCTTGGCAAATGCGGCGGCGTCTCTGATCTTCGATCGTTGGCGGAGTGCGGAGCTCCGGATTCCCTCTCTCACTTGCGTGTAGCGGGAAACTCCGAGCATCGCCCTTTCGATGGCGCGTTGAATAACGCCGACCGCATGCTCATCCTGCTTTCGTAGAGTCCAAGTCTCTGAGGCGTAAGTGTCGGAAGGCAGAAGGGGAGCGGCGGGGGCGGGAAGGCCGGAAGAGGCGTGGGGCAACGGAGCTTGGGTGTTCTTCGTCTTCTTCGCTACTCCCTCGATGTTCTTGAAGGCTCCCCAAGCCGCTCGCTTCCTCCTGCTCAGCTCTGGAGCTAGGTCATTCATCATATTGATTTCACGACCTAGGTACACATAGCTAGAGCATTCAGAGATGGTCGTTCCGTTGAGCGTGAATGGGGCATCAGATACCAATCCGTTTCTCATGAACATCGTCTTCGTTAGGTTCAGCCGTAGACCGATTCTTCCACACGCGCAGTCGAATTCAGCCAGCATTCGTTCCGCTTGCTCGATGTTTGGCGTTATCAAAACGATGTCGTCAGCAAAGCGGAGATGGTGTAGTTGCCGACCGTCGATCTTCACTCCCATGTCTTCCCATTCCAGTTGACGCCATGACGTTCCTCGAGAGGCGCTGAAGAGCTTGGGCGAGATGGTGTCGCCCTGTCGGACCCCTCTCTTCACATCAATGATGATCTCCTTGTAGAATGGTGAAATCTTGGTCGTGAAGTTGCTGTAGAGCTCTCGAAGAATCCTGATGTACTGAGTAGGAATACCCTGGTTGCCCAGGGCTTCGATAACCGCTTCTGTCTCAACGGAGTCGAAGGCCTTCTTCAAGTCGATGAACGTGAGACATAGCGGCATCTTGTACTCTCGCGATACTTCGATGAGCTTCGTTACCGTGTGGATGTGATCGATCGTGCTGAATCCTCTTCGAAACCCTGCTTGCTCGCATGGCTGTCCTTCGTCTAGTGTTCTGCCAATCCTATTCAGGATGACTCGTGTTTGAAGAGTTTTGTAGACTACAGACAGCAGGCAGATTGGGCGATAATTGCCAATGTCGTACAGGTCTCCCTTCTTGTACAGCAACACAGTCTTGCTGGTTTTCCACGAGGTGGGTACCTTGCATTCCGACAGGTAGCGCGTGAAGAGTCGAGCCAGAGTTTTGACGAGAACTGGCGGAAGATTCTTCAGATGTTCGGGTCTGATCCTGTCGGGACCGGGTGCCGTACGATTCTTCACCGACGAGATGGCGTGTCGGACTTCGGAAGGGAGAACTGCAGGAACGACATATCCATCCTGCTCCAAGCGGTATGGTTGCAGGTGGACGTGGCTGTCGAAGAGATCCGAGTAGAAGTCGTGTGGGCATTTGACCTTTCTCTGGCATTGCCCTTCTGGATGCGGTGAATTTGTTCCATCCGGACGCCGGAGGCGGTGCGGATCTGTGGTCGTTGAGCAGGGCGGAAGTCGCGGGGGCGGGCGTTGCGGTATGCGTCTTGCCCAGCCTCTGCGGCCTTCCACGGCGATACTGGGCTGCTCTTTGAGTCTCCTTGAGGTCTTCTTTTATCGCTCCTCTGCATAGCTTCGCAAGCTCAGACGTCAGCTGGTAATTGCCTGCGGCTCGTGCGGCTCCACGTTGGCGAATCAGCTCGAGAGTTTCCAGAGATAGACGCTTCTTGGTAATCTTGGAACCCTCTGACTTCTTGGCGCAGTCGTGAAGATGTGCAACAAGCCGTTCGTATTCCTCGTCGATGTTGTCGATGACAGAATCCTCCCAGAGCCCAGCGAGAGAAGTGAAGTGATCCCAGTTGATGAAGGTCTTTGGGCTTCGCTTCTTGAACTTTGTGGGCGGCTGGGGGGGGGGGGCTCCGTCGCGCTGGTGCGGCAAGGGCGGAAGAAGCGAATCTTGGCGCGAGAGGAGGCGTGGTCGGGGATCAGCCGTGTAGAAGCTAGGGACGAACAAGCGAGCAGGGTCGATTAGGCAAAACGCGTTCGAGTTGCAGATGCATGTGGTCGATTCTCATTGATGGAAATTGTCCACGGAGGAGACGTCCCATGTGCCAGCGTAGGAGGATGAGGGGCTTCTGGACCTGGCGAAGTATTACCATGGATGGTGTGGGTCGACATGATAAACTCAGACAGCCTTTCACCCTGCTCATTCCACTCCGTTCCGTGAGTTCCGATGTGAAGTTCTTCAGGCGGGCGTTCTCTTGTCGGATCTTAAGGCGTTGAAATCGACCGGACGATGACGGCTGAAGACCGGTATGATCGTCCTTGTGAAGCCTTCTGCGCATCCATATAGAAGGACGCTTCGAGCTCATCCTCGTCGTAGCTTGATGTTGGTGCGTAGGCGACGAAGATTGTCAAAGCTGGAGTTGAACCACATCTTCTCAATCGCAAACGTCCGATTCGGGTCGTCAGACTTTCGTACGAATCGATGTTCATGGCCAAGTGCGTGTTGACGAGGACGCCCACACCGCCAACGCCTCTGCTGTCGCATGTTCCGAGGAACAGTTCTTCTCCAGTCTCGTAGGCACGGGCAGTTAGCGTGGGCGGGCGATGCCTCCTCGTCTCGGTCAGTCCGATGACGTCGTACTTGATCTTCCTGGCTTGCAACATCAGATCTTCGATGTGAGCTTCCGATGCAAGCGTCCGTGCGTTGAAAGTACAGATCGTCATCCTAGTCCTGGGCGACTCAAATCTCCGTTGGCCCTGTGATTTTAGCAGCCTCGTCCGAGCGGTCCCAGCCGACGTCGCCCTGTCGGTGGTTCCCTCAGCTTCAGGGGAATGAGGCCCATAGTTGTTACTGTTTTCGGCGAGAAAAATTAACCACGCGTAGCTCGCCAGGCTCTGACGTGGCACCCTCCGCATTGGTACGTTTTTGGAACAGTCCAAAACCGTTCACCCCCACGCCACGATGAGGCTGCGGATAGGATTTGTGGGGGTTTGAACAGTACCCTGACCTAAACCCGCCTCTCACCTAAATTCGGACAGAGTTCAAATAGGGTGGGTTCTACAGTGGCGGAGAATATCAGCGAATCTGCGCTGACTCACGCACCCAGCTGGACGGTCGCGTGCAGAAGTGCTCTCATGGCTTCTGCTGCAGAAGGCTGTGGCGGAGTATCATGATAGTATTTAATATGCTCTTTAATGTGGTGGTAGAAATGTCCGATAAGAATTTAATGAAGTGTAACTTATAGCGCCTCGAAAGTCGAGGAAGAAAAAAGTCTTTTTTTGACCCCTCCCTGTAGTCGAAACGTCAGGCCATAATGAAGTTTCCACCCACCAACCTCGTGTGCACAGAAGAACTTATCAAACGTGACGCTTGTGTGTTTTGGCGCGGGAGTTCAGTACCCACCCATACATCTAGGGCCGGGAGGCGTTTTCACAGTGAATGATATCTTATGCGGAGAATAGTACTGTTACAGGTATAGAATCAGTACTGTGTTCGTGCTTCTACAAAACTTCCAGTTACCCATACGCACACCCTACTGACCATTCTCAATTTATCGGACATAACTCGGGCAGCAGTTGCAGCAGGGATGTCAGTCTCGCGGGGAAGCTCGACAAAGGTCCAGGCTCTGTGATCAGACATTCAGCGCTTGACTTCATCCACCCTTTTTTCTTGTGCAGGATGAACATTATGGGACCATCCACGACAACAAATTTTTTCCTTTCTTCCTTCTTCGGGCTCCTGAACCAAATCTTCCACCACGCATATCGAGAACACTATTACACGCAGCTATTAGTCCGGCCGCCAAAAATGAATAACATATTCACGATCAAGGCACTGCATAACTTCAGGGAGCGAATTTTCAGCGAAAATGTTTTTTGAGTCTTTGTAGTCCTTATAGTGGAATAGTGTTAACTTTTGAAGCCTCTCGCACAGATTATTTCTGACTATTATTGCCATTTTGTAAAGTGATTTTCCAGCGAAGCTATTCTGAACACAAGAATAAACTTCAAGGCTAATGGTGAGCAAATGGAATTTGCTCAAGCAATGCAGTACGTTTTCAACCCATCCAAATCTTGCCCAACGTGCGATCCGAAAAAGGACAAAGTAACGGTTCCTGACATTAGTTTTTTCGTAAGTTTTTCCTGCTTCGAGCCTTTTTAACATTACTACTGCTCTGCAACTGGTTTCATCACTATGCATTGTCAACCTATTAGGTTCGTGATAAAATTTTGGCATGTTCTTTGTTCCTAAAATATTTGCCCCTATATATCTGCTATAACGCCCTCAATCTGGTCTAGTCGGCCAGCTTCATACCGAAAACAGTGAGCGCAGGTACTGACGTTTCATCCCGGAACGTCAGTACCTGCTTTCACTGCTCTCGGTATGACAAGGCCATATCGGACTTGTGGTATGGCCCAGTCATACCGAAAGCCATTAAAAGTCATTAAAATTCTCGCCGAAGCAGCAACTCAGGAGGGTGACTTTTCCTCTGCAACGTGTGAAAACATCGCTGCTTCCGTCTGCTAGCTCTCCCTAATTAATCAGTACATGGACGAAAAAACTCCACAAAAGCCAGCTTCGATAACTGGCTGGCTGCCGGCAGAAGTCAAAGTGGAAGCTGAGGTTGCGTAGCGCCAACCTGCTTGTGATGGCAACCAGAAGGTGCCCGACTGACTAGAATCCCCGCTAAAAAATGCTTTATATTATTGATGTTGTATCTTTCACTATAATAAGGAAGCCTGATTTGGTAAATTGTGATGGAACTTACTCGCTAATCTAATGTTTGATTTCCAGCTAGGTATGCAGCAGATTGATGCATTGGTGGAGAAGATTCTCGGAAACGATAAAGTTATCGGCGTTTGCCAATTACTTCTTAAAGATAAGTGCCCAGAACTTGCCAAAATACTGGAACAGGAAATAGGCAGCTTTATGGATCTTTTCAAGATTGAGCCATTTGTGACGGTTGTGAGTTCTTCATCAATTTTGTCGCTTTCTCAAGACTGTAACATTGTCGTAAAATGTGACAACGAGAAAATTAAGTGAATCGGAGCGGGGTTGGCAATACAATCATGGCTGAAAAAGGTATGGGTATAAGGTGACTCGTGAGAGCGCTGAAAAGCATTTACAAATGCGCCTCGAATACTATCCTGTTCCACCTTCTTCATGAAGATTACTCAAAGAAAGGCTGATAGACACCGACCAGTGACGAGAGACCATACGCGGTGTATCAGAAGGCAATAATTCGAGCGGGAGAACAGAAACACACGCCTACCATAGTGGTGTAGTGGGCCTGACTCCGCGGAAAAACTCACTGGCGAGCGCTCGCGTCGCAGCTGTTGCCGATAGCGCTAGTGAAAGGGAAGAAAAGCTGGCTCTGTATCATTGCAATCTTGAGGCAATAAGCTTTCTGCCATTCATTTCTCAGGGAATACGCTGATCCCACTATGATTGCCAATTGTATTTATCACTGTGAGCTCCGGCACTGACTGTAAGTGAACCTGGGCAATGTCCAGTCGCAGTGTCATCGCAGTGAAATCGCTCGGCACGCGCCGCATGCGCGTCACGGGTGAGTTATTCCTCCTCCCCCCTCCCCCCCCCCCCAGCGTGCCTGAACTATTAGGCTGGAAAAAGGCTGCGACACTTCAATTGAATTCTTCTAAAATCTTTTGAATGTTTCACCCTT